AAAAAAAAAAAGGTGGGTGGGGAGGTGGGCTGGAAAGATGGCTTAGTGGTTAAGAGCACTGCCCTTGGCCATTCACTGTGGCTCCTCCCTGGGTCCCGTCCGTCCGCAGTTACCCAGGTCTGTTAGTGTCCAAGTCTCAGAACCTGTTGGGGTTTTATGGTTGTATTTTTCTTCCTTCGTCTAGATCAAAGCATGAACCTTTTCTGTTTTTTCATGGCCCATTTAGAGGAAGCCAGTGCTGACCATTCCAAAGCATTTCTTCTAGGATCGTCTGAGGAAGGTTGCTGTTCCACTTGGAATCACATTGAGTGAGATATGACTATGTAATCTGGTTGTGGTTCATACTTGTAATCCAGTACTTGAGTATGGACACAGGAGGCTACATGGCTGACTTAAAACCAGCATGGGTTTCTGAGACCTTGCCTCACAAACAGAAATGGGGGACTGAGCTTTTCCTCTCCATTTTTTTATGTATTTTTTTGTTTGTTTGTGTTTTGTTTTTTTCAAGATGTGGTTTCTCTGTGTGTAGTTCTGGCTGTCTTGGAACTCACTCTGTAGACCAGGCTGGCCTTGAAATACACCTGCCTCTGCCTTCCAAGTGCTGGGATTAAAGGCATGCACCACCTCACCTTTAATTTATTTTAAAAAAATTTTTGTGTGAGTGTTTATGTATGTGTGGGTGGGTGGGTGGAAGCCAGAGGACAACCTTAGGGGTCAGTCCTCACTTTCTACCTTGTTTGAGACAGGGTCCTTGCTGTTCTGCTGCTGTGTACACTCATAAGCTTTGTAGGTGTCTCCTCTCTCCATCCCCCATCCTACCATTGGAGAACTGGGGTTGCAGGTGTGTGATACCATACCCAGTTTTCTGTTTTGTTTTGTTTTTGTTTTTTCAAGACAGGGTTTCTCTGTGTAGTTTTGGTGCCTGTCCTGGATCTCACTCTGTAGACCAGGCTGGCCTCGAACTCACAGAGATCCGCCTGCCTCTGCCTCCCGAGTGCTGGGATTAAAGGCACGCCACACTGCCGCCCGGCACATACCCAGTTTTGTATGGATTCTGGAAATTTAAACTCAGATCCCCATGCTGTACAGCCAGCGCCTGGACCACTTTGCTGTCTCCCAGCCTGATTGAACCTTTTAAACAAGTGCTGAAGTAAGCTGAACTGTGTTAAAGGTGGGCGCGCGTGCGTGCGTGCGTGCGTGCGTGCGTGCGTGCGTGCGTGCGTGCGTGCGTGTGTGTAGTTTTTTTGTTTTTGTTTTTCAAGACAGTTTCTCTGTGTAGCCCTGGCTGTCCTGGATCTCACTCTTTAGACCAGGCTGGCCTCGAACTCAGAGAGCTACCTGCCTCTGCCTCCCGAGTGCTGGGATTAATGTACCTGTAAGTCAGTGCACTCCATGTAAGAAATTACACAGTGATGGGACATTGGTACAGGTGTCCTTCTGTGTCCCTTGTCATGCACGGTGCCCCTGAGCATCTTGGGGACCATGGATGTTGGCACCTCGTTCCACAGAGGGAGACACAGGAGTTTTGGAATTGAAGTGTTTAGAAAATGTCTCTGACGTTGAGTTAGGAAGTTGGTGCTCCGTTAAAATTTACTTTCTAAGGTGCTGGAGAGATGACTTAACAGCTAAGAGACTAGCTGCTCTTGCAGAGGACCTGGGTTCGATTCCCAGCACCTACATGGAAGCTTATAGCCACTTATAATGCCAGTTCCAGAGGATCTGATGCCCTCCTCTGGCCCCCACCAGGGATGCATATGGTGTTCACATACATATATGCAGGTAAACATCCATACATTTAAAATCATAAAAAAAGAAATCTTTAAAAAAATGTACCTTATTAAAAAATAAAAATAAAAACAACTTTCTGGGGGACACACCTTCTATTAAAGTACTCTGGAGGTGGAGGCAAGCAGATCTCTGAGTTCAAAGCCAGCCTGGTCTATATAGCAAATTCTAGGCCAGCCAGGGCTATATAGCAAGACTGTGCCTTGGAAAGAAACTGCAACAGCAACAGCTCATGGGTGCTGGAGAGGTGGCTGAGCAGTTAAGAGCACTTGCTGTTCCTTTAGAGGGACCAAGCTCAGTTCCAGCACCCATTGCAGGTGATTTCCAACTGCCTACAACTCTTTAGGGAAATCTAATCCCCACTTCTGGCCTCTGTGGGTACTCACACACACATGATATACACATAAATAATAAAAATAGGCCTGGGCACGGTGTTAATTCCAGCACTCAGGAGGCAGAAGTAGGCAGATGAATCTCTGTGAGTTCGAGGCCAACCTGCCTGGTCTACAGAGTGAGTTCCAAGGCATCCAGGGCTATACACAGAAATTCTGTTTCAAAAATAAAGAAAAATTTAAACCCAACATCATATTTTTTTTTTTTTTGGTTTTCCGAGACAGGGTTTCTCTGTGTAGCTTTGCGCCTCTCCTGGAACTCACTTGGTAGCCCAGGCTGGCCTCGAACTCACAGAGATCCACCTGGCTCTGCCTCCCAAGTGCTGGGATTAAAGGCGTGCGCCACCACTGCCCGGCTCCAACATCATATTTTGATATGTATGGGCACATACATATCATGGCGTGCGTCTGGAGAACATTTGGGACTTGGTTTTGTATTTTGACGATGTGGGGGTTCCAGGGATCAAACTCAGCTTGTCAGGCTTGGTGGCAAGTACCTTTGTCCACTGAACTTTCTTGCCAGTCCAAACCCACTTTTATATAAATATACATATTTATGTATATATGTATGCACACACACATACACAAGATATAACAGAGGAAAACGAAACTGTTGAGTGTAACACACCTTGACACTACATTGCTCAGTGTTTCACCAGACAAGATCATGGTAACGATGAGTGGTTTGTATGTAGCCCCTTCTCAAGGCTGTATGTGTTTGCAGAACTTGATATCCTGCACTTTTCCTTTCAATGTTGTTTGGTTCTTTGCGGGGGGGGGGGGGGAGGATTATTAAGAAATTTTCTATTCTCTTTATATACCAAGCACAGATTCCCCCCCTTCCCTCTCCCCATCCCCATCCTTTCCCCCAATCCACGCCCCATCCCCATATTTTCCAAGTCAAGGTCTCCCATGGGGAGTCAGCAGAGCCTGGCACACTCAGCTGAGGCAGGTCCAAGCCCCTCCCCGCTGCAACAGCTGTGCAAGGTGTCACACCATAGGCCCTGGGCTCCAAAAACCCACCCATGCACCAGGGATGGATCCCGATCCCCCTGCCTGGGGGCCCCCCAAACAGTTCAAGCTAAACAACTGTCTCCTGTATCCAGAGGGCCTAGTCCAGTCCTATGGGGGCTCCATAGCTATTAGTCCACAGTTCATGGGTTTCCACTAGTGTGGCTGGTCATCTCTGCATGTTTGTTTGGTTCTTAAAAAAAAAAAAAAATTAGCGCCGGGCGGTGGCGGCGCACGCCTTTAATCCCAGCACTCGGGAGGCAGAGCCAGGCTGATCTCTGTGAGTTCGAGGCCAGCCTGGGCTACCAAGTGAGTCCCAGGAAAGGCGCAAAGCTACACAGAGAAACCCTGTCTCGGAAAAACAAAAAAACAAAAAAATTATGTACACACCAGCTTCCCAGCACCCTAGCAATCACTGTTGACTCCCCAGGGATGTGGTCTCGTGCTCCCCCCTGCTTCCTCCCCTGGAGTCCTCAACTTGAGGTACACTCACTCTGGTAGTCACAGTGTCTCCCCTCCCCCCTCGTCATGGCAGCTCAGCCTTAGAAGTGTTCTTCCTCAGGAGTCCTAGTCACACACTGTGCCTCCACCGTGGACCCTTCTGGACAGCACTGGATGGCCTGCTGAGGCCGGCTCTTCTCTCCACAGATCCTGATGGCCAGCTGTACAGTGTGGAGCCTGTCCAAGATGAAGAGCCCCCTGCCTGTGCCGATGAGTTTGACGATTTTGTCACCTATGAGGCAAGTGCTTTCCTGACCGCGGGCTCTCCCTTTCCCCTTCCTCTGCACTGCAGCTTCCGCTCCCTGAGCGTCCTCAGCTGCTTTCACGAGCGCTGTGCCCTGTGCACGTGGGGGGTTGGGGGGCGGGTGGGGGGCCGGGGCTGTGACAGAAACCACAGACTTTTCCCACTGGCCTAGTTGGGACCGGTATCTGCATGGTCAAGAGTCATCTCTTGGGCCTGTTGTGGAGTAGAGGTTTGTGGGTAGTTAGGCTCTGTGGTGTCCCCTTCTACCAGGCAGAGGCAGAGCACAAGACGTTGAAGGTTTCCCCCTGTGAACTTAAAAAGAATTGTCGGTGTTTGGGAACATTGACTAAGCTGCCTCCTGCCCTGTATCCCTTGGTGTCCACTCCTGGGGAAACTAGGATTGTGCTGTGTGGTGTCTCTTAAAACTCGGGGCTCCTTGTCACCTAGCTGGGAACAAAGTGACAGCCAAGGAAGGCAGACCACTGTAACTGCCCAGCAGACTGGAGAGAGCTGAGTCTCGGGTCATCTGGCCGGTCTACAGGGTTTTCTTTACAAAACACACATGGAGCTGTTGTCCTTGTGTTCAGGGTGGCTGAGAGACAAGGTCCTTGGGCTCAGGGGTTCCGAGCTGGCTGGGCAATGCAGGGAGACCCCTCTTGGAAATGTGGAGCCCCACCTGAGCCTGAGGTGCATTGACAGAAGGAGAAGCTGCGACATTTCAACCTTCTAAGTTCTGTCGGCTGGCGAGATGCAAGGTGCTTTATCACAGAAGGTCCTTTGTCACAGGAGGGGCTGGACCCTGGAATGTTAAATGGATTCCTTCTGAGGACTACTCGAGGTTTTTGTTTTTGTTTTTGGTTTTGGTTTGGTTTGGTTTTTCAAGACAGGCTTTCTCTGTGTAGTTTTGGTGCCTGTCCTGAATCTCAATCTGTAGACCAGGCTGCCCTGGAATTCACTCTGTAGACCAGGCTAGTCTTGAACTCACAGAGATCCACCTGCCTCTGCCTCCCAAGTGCTGGGATTAAAGGCGTGCGCCACCACCGCCCGGCTGGCCTGAGTTTTTTAATCCTAATTTCTCTTTTAAAGACTTATTTTTAATTGTGTGTGTGTGTGTGTGTGTGTGTGTAAGTGCACCTGAGCACAGGCGCCTTTGGAGGCCAGAGGCATTGAGTCACCTGGAACTGGAGTTAAAGGCATTTGTCAGCACGCGGTATGGGTGCTGAAAATCAGACGTGGGCTGTGTGGAAGGAAGAGCAGTCAGCACCCCTAACCACTGAGCCTTCTTTCCCTCTTAGCACTCTAATCTCTGTTTTCGATGAAAGGAGCATTTCTACGTTTCTGCTTACTTTTAAAAAACTGCCGAGGGTTTCCGCACGACGCCTGCCGCAGTTCCCGTTACAAGCACAGCTGGTGCTTCATTGTTGACCAACATTCGCAGTGTGCACGTGAAGACGTGTCTCTGTGACAGCCCCACAGAGCATCGTTTCCCGCTCAGCCAGTGCCCTGTGCTCTGGCTGCCCCACGCGCCCCTGGCTGGTTTTGCTGAGTTGTGTCTCTGCCTTTCCTGGGTGTCTCTGCCTTTCCTGGGTGTCTCTGCCTTTCCTGGGTGTCTCTGAGCTCCCCTCTCACACCTGCTCCTCTCAGTTGTGCCCATGTTTCTTCCGTGTCTTGCTTTTCAGGTTTGCGGGTGCAGTTTTCAGAACTAGATATTGTAAGTTCATAAACTTACAGAGAGTTCACGTTCTTTAAAACCAAACAGCTAGTCGTAATAATGCAGGCTGCAATCCTCACGCTTGGGAGGGGGAAACAGGAGGATCAGAAATTCAGGTCATCTTTGGTGACATCGTGAATTCAAGGCCAGCCTGGACTATAAAAAAAATGTTGTCAGATGTGGTGGCTCACTCCTTTAATTCCAGCACTCAGGAGGCAGAGACAGACAGATCTCTGAGCCAGCCTTGTCTACTGTAAGTTCCAGGATAGCCAGAACTACATAGTGAGACCCTGTTTCAAAAAACAAACATACAAACAAACAAAGAACTAAAAGAAATGTCAAACGTCTTATTGTTGGTTTGTTAGTTTTCTGAGACAGAGGTTCTCTGCATAGCCCTGGCTGTCCTAGAACTTGCTATGTAGACCAAACTGGCCTTGAACTCACAGAGATCCACCTGCCTCTGCCTCTGCCTCCTAAGCACTGAGATCCTGGCTTCTTTTTAAAGTGGAGAATCTATGTGTCAAATCCAGATGCCCTATTTGGTACTTAGAGACAATTAGCCTTTTACTGAATTGCTGAAGATCGTTCTTGGTAGCCCCGTGGTTCTGGTGGAACTTGGTGAGTATAGGCACATGCTGGTAGGATCATGGGGCAGGTACTCGCTCAGGAGCACTCCCTGTTAGGGGTTCCTACTAGCTCTCTTGGCTCCCACTACCACTTTCCTGGGGACCCCTTGGGCGTTAGCTTGTAACAGGAGAATATTAAGTGAGGCCGGGGAGAGTGAGGGGGCTGAGTTAAGTTGCTGGTGCTGTTTACAGGAATAATCATGAAAAGAAAGCTCATTGTCCAAGAATCTGAACAGGCCAAGGGAGGCCGGACCACGCCACAGTGGGTAGAGACCACTTATCGGGGTTTCTGGAGGAGCGGTGAGGAAGTCACCCGGAGAACAAGCAGGACCAGGTGATAAGGGTGTCCCAGAATTGTCCTGGCCGTGCTTTCTGTGTGCCTCCCTCCTCTCCCACTGCTGGGAGCTAGGGAGACCACTTTTCTGATGAGAATGTGTCTTTTGTACAAGCCGTTATCAGGAAGGTTAAAGTGTCCACCCAGACTGCTGCGCTTTGTTCCCTGCCTGTTTGTTAAGGCCAGGGAGGACCTTCCCGGACTTTGCTCCTCCCCACCTGGCCGGCAGCAGCTTAACAGAGCGTGTCTGGGAGCCGGTTAAACTTTCTCCGAGGTGGGGATGTGCCTCCAGGTGGGCCCATGGATTTTGCGTGGCTAGCAAACAGGAGGTGACAGCCAGTGAAGAGAAGTCAGTGACTTGGTGAGCAGGGACACGCGATCAGGAGGTCATCTCCAGCAACACACCCTTCCCGGAGCCTGGGCCCAGAGACAGGCCTGTGAAGGTACTTGGCCATCACCTGAGGGTAAGAAGAGACCCGAGAGTGTGCTGTACCTGGATTCTGTTTCTGTGGAGGGAGGAACCATAGCCTGGACAGTGGGAGCAGCCAGGCAGTGTTAGCCATTACTGATAGCCTGGATTAAGGGTCTCATCCGTCTCTCGGTGCCTTAGATGATCGATTACCTAATGAATGTAACGACACAGTGGGAAGTTTTTTAAGGCACTTTGATTTTAAAGTGAGTTCGTCTTTACTTTGGTAGTAGGTAAAAATTTAGAAGTTGGTGCTATAGAGTGTTGTCTTCTCGGCAAGGCTGTTCTAACTGGCTGATGGATGGAGCCCAGTGGGTGAGGCTATGTGCTGTGTTTGTGTTGTGTCATGAACTGTGCGGTAGAACTCTGCTCCAAGGTGGGAGTTATGATGCCTGGTTTTTTGGTTTTTCAAGACAGGGTTTCTCTGTGTAGTTTTGGTGCCTGTCCTGGAGCTCGCTCTGTAGACCAGGCTGGCCTCGAACTCACAGAGATCTGCCTGGCTCTGCCTCCCGAGTGCTGGGATTAAAGGCGTGCACCACCACTACCCAGCTTGATCACTTTCTATTATAAGCAACAACCTACTCTGAGGTCTTGGAAGGTCCTGCCAGGTTAGTGTTGGGGCCTAGATGTCCTCCCAGCACCTCAGAGTCCGGGTCTCCTTTCTTTGTGGCTAACTTGCATCTGGTAGACTATTAGCAATCTGGGGGCTTCATGTTTGTGTCCCACATCCCACAGAGGACCCTGAGTACTTTCTGCAGTGCTTGGGGATGGGACCCCTTGACCTCATTTGTTTCCTTTGAAGTTTACACATGTAACCATGGCCCTCTCTGTGACTGGAGCTCTGCAGTTACTCCACAGTCCTACAGAAATGAGTTGAGATTGTGTCCCACAGCCTCCCTCCAGGATCTGTGGAACAGATGGAGATGTAGACATTGGTAGAGTTGATTCTGTCCTAACACTCTGCCTAAACTCCAAGGAAGGTGCCATCCTTGGCCTGTGCTCCCAGAGACGCCACCCTCAGCGTCGTGAGAACTCCATGTAATGAGTGGGCTCCAGCCTTCAGACTCTTCCATCCCAGGAAGGAATGTGCTAACTGCACTGAGACCTTGTTACACTTATTCCCAGTGTCCAAGCTGTGCCAGAAAATCTGGGTGCACGTGGCCAGGGAGGAACAGTGAGCACAGTGAGTGTATGTGGGTTGGCTTTAAGAAACAAATTACTATATTAATAGGGGGTCACACATTCTGCGGTGCAGGTGTGGAGGTCACCATTCGGATCCTGGGGATCCAACTGCAGTCATCAGGCCTGATGGCAAGTGCCTTTACTGGATGAGTCATCGTTTCTTGTTTTGTTTTGAGACAAGGTTGCACTCTACAGACCAAGCAGGCTGGCTTCAGACTCAGAGATCCGTCCGCTGCCTCTGCCTCCCAAGTGCTGGAATTAAAGGTGCGTGCCACACCGCCTGGGGATATTTTTATTTTTATTTATTTTATTTTATTTTTGGTTTTTTGAGACAGGGTTTCTCTGTGTAGCTTTTTGATATTTTTATTTTTTTAATTGAAAATTCATACAAAAATTCTGATCATGGTTTCCCCTCCCCCATTTTCTCCTAGCTCCTCCCCACCTCCCTACTCATCCAACTCCAGGCCTTCTGTCTCTTTCTTTAGAAACAAACAAATTAAAAAACAAACAAGCAGGCTGGAGAGATGGCTCAGTGGTTAAGAGCACTGGCTGCTCTTCCAGAGGTCCTGAGTTCAATTCCCAGCAACCACATGGTGGCTCACAACCATTTGTAATGAGATCTGGCACATAATAAATAAATAAATCTTTAAAAAAACAAACAAACAACACGAAAAAGCTCAGAAACACACCCTGAGACACACAGACAAAAACAAAACTCATAAAAACACAATCAGAAACCATATTATACAAGCAAATGGCCAGTAAGATTTAAAAAAAAAA